CATGTTTTTGATTGGTTTGAACCTATAGTTGGGTGCTTTAATAGTGAGTTTGATCGCAGAGGATATCTTAAATCATTTCTGAACCGGAATAAGTTATTTCCGTAGATATTGATACATTTAAGAATGAAGAGAGCACAAAAGTAGGTATTTATATCTCTCAGCTTCAATAGTTTCAGTGTAGAAAATGCCTCATTGGTATGGTCATATTTGCCTAATCCAGCAGTTGTTCGGATTACTCGTTTTTTGGGCAGTTATAACGGGCTTTAGTGGGATTTAACAATGTGTGTGTGTGCGTGTGTGTGTGTACGTGTGTGTGTGTGTGTGTGTGTGTGTGTGTGTGTGTTGTGTGTGCGTGTGCGTGTGTGTATATGTGTGTGTATGGCAACAGCTTCCACGAAACCATTCGTACATACTGATCGTCCGAAATATTCCCTCACGTTGACTTCATAACAGGAGGAATTCCCAGAAAGCTTCCAGAAAGAGGTCCAATATAACGTAAGTGATGTACCCTCTTTGTCAGCAACCAGCGATGTCATCGAACGGAAGGGAAGAGACTGGTACGTAATTGAAAAGGATGACGAAGAAATTTAGCAAAAAGGATGAGAATAACGATACATTTTTGGGATGTTTATGTGTATAGATGGCAGTAACTTTGTGCTTAATTCCGGAAATAATGATTTTTTGTTTCAAAGTTATATGTCAGTCGTAGCTAATTCTTTTAAAGAAGTTCATCACACACACACACACACGCACACACACACGCACACACACACACACACACATACACACACACACACACACACACACACACACACACACACACACACACACACACACACACACACTGTTGTTGTCACATCCCAATTTCATGGGAATGCATTGCAGCTAATGGAAACGAATATTGTTACCATCATCTTGTTTTATTCTCCCCCCTTTCTCTCTCTCTCTCTCTTTCTCTCTCTCTCTCTCTCTCTCACCCTCTCTCTCTCTCTCTCTCTCTCTCTCTCTCTCCTCTTTTTCTTTGTCTTACTCTTACTCTTTCTTTATCTTTCTTTTTCTTTTTCGTTTTCTTTTTCAGTGTGTGAGCATCCCCATCTTGTTTTTATCTTTTAACATTTACACAGTATCTTTCACTACATCTTTAATCTCCTCTTTTCCAGGCGTTTTTTTTTTTTTTTTCAACTGTCCATAATAATACTTTTAGAAGCAAAAACTCCATATCTTCTCCATGTCCTGACAGTGATTGAACAGTGGGATTAGGTTAGCAATGCCAAATTCAATGCAGATAAATCAACACAAATAATCATTCCACATAGAAGAAGCCTTCATTATCTACCAGATGAGATAAATGCTAGTAATTTAATTTCTGAATCCTCCTCAACTAGACTAAACCTTGACTCCGGAGCTCATGGTTATTTCCCTGCTCCTCCATTCATACAGGATATACAAATCTCAAATTCACCTTTCATTCGTGTGTTGCTCATGGGTGGCACTCCTAATAACCACTCTATCCACGGTCGGCAAGATCCATTCTAAAGAGGTATGGGACCAATATATTAACAAGGTATGACCGAAAATTTACACTCTTTACAGTCACCAATGTGTTGATACCTTGTCACTCTTCAATACATTCTATCATGGCTAATATTTTCAGATAAACCTTACGTCTGGTGTTTTTAGAAGAACAAGTAATGCCATATCTACAAACATCAGGTAGAAAGGAATACCCTTTCCTGAGACAGACATTAGAAGGAACAGCCCAGGTTGTCATCGAGTTGTGAGGACTAGGCAATTGGCTTGTGATAAGGAAATTCAAAGCACTCGTTACTTATGTAGCCAAGTGTTCAAGATGTATAACCCATAGCAAGGGTAATGGCGAATCCCATGGATGAATAAAACACCAGTTAGTGATTTTTTTTTTAGATCTACTCCAATATATATATTTTTAATTAGATATAATAACAATTATAATCCTTTTTGTATAGTACATGTCCTTGTCTGTTTCATTATTTTTATAAATATAAGAGGAATCATGTTAATATCAATAATAACAATGGATAAGAGTATAACAATAATGAAAGAATATTAGTGGTGAAACGTACTGCAGATATTGAGAATAATGGTGTAATATTAACAATAATATACTTATTGTTATGAAAGCAACGCACATATTTTTGTTATTGCTGTTGTTGACATTATCAGTTATGAAAATATCCATTTATAAATAAGTCATATTATCATTGTTGCTGATGATATTTTTCCTATTTTTTACGAGATGCGAGCAGAGCAGGAGGCGGAACTGGCATCTACCCCCAAGCGATGAACCACTGCCACTCTTAATAATAGACCTGACCAGCCCTTTGTTGTGGAGATGATTTCAGTCAGTCATCAGGAGTAACTAGAGATTCCAATAATTGTGCAAAGGTACCAATGCAGCATTGGTTTGCTCTACGACATTAAGACAAATCATGTTAGATCACTGGATACAACTGACAGGACAGAACGCCTAAGCAAGAGCTATTTAGAGAAGCTGTCCTAGGCCTACCCACCGAGGCTGCGTAGACACTTAACCCAATACGCTAAGATTCAGTTTAACAAGTCTTCTCTTCCAATGCCAATCCTGGGTGGAGATGATCTATGTGATTGCCTCGAAAGTAGGCCTATATGGTTTGGGCAAAACAGACAAACAGTCAAGATGAGTTGAAACACCGAGTGGCTAGCCGTGGGTGATTCTCGCAGCTGGATATGACCAAGTTAGAAAAATAAATTGAATGGTTGTTGTTTTTTTCAGCTTAAATTATCGTTATTATTGTTGCTGGCAGGGCTGCTGTGATTGTTATTATTATGATTAAGTGCCAATAATTTTATCTTTATTGTTGCACTGTTTATAATCGTGATAATTGCCATTGTTACTTTTATCATACTTTTTACTTACTATTAATATTTATATCACAATTAACATTATCACCGCCACCATCTGTAAATTTATCACCGTTACCACCACTGCTGTTATATATATAATCAATATATTTATAATATACACCCAATGTTCTAAATATATCAAGTTTGCTGGAGAAACGTTCTGAAGCTGATGGACAGCTCGGTAGCTTTCCTAAAACGTTA